AAACAAAGATGTGTTTTGATATTTAAGTTGCTTCCAGTTAACTGCGTGGGTTAGTCTGCATGTATCGCTCCATTCTTAGTGTCAGGATGATGAGTGGAGAAGGTGGATATAAAAACACTGAGTGTGCAGAGCGTATGAACCTGCCATGGGGTTATTGTTACTATTTGACCACTACTACGTCCTATTTCACTTCAGTCATCTGTACATCTCTTAAGTTGTGTTGAACAAACTTAAAAGTGAGAGAAATCTTTGTTTTTCCTAATAGATTTGAAATGAGTATAGCTGTTATCAAAAACAGAATAATTTTTTTCTGGAAAATGCTTGAGATATCAGTTTATCTGTGATGGCACAGGCAGTAAGCCGTAAGGCATTATTTTACTTTACTGGAGACATGTGGAAGACTGGAATTCACATCCTGGGTCAACGTGCAACACACAAGTGCAGGTGCACACCTGCGATATTGGTGAGTTGGAAGGCTAGGAAAGGAGAATCACAGCATGACAAGATCCTGTCAAGGGTGCCTGTTTCTCTTTCTATCTCTGAAGAAATAAATAAACTTTTTAAAAGTTCCCAAATTAGCAACAATGTTTTGGTAGCTACAGCCTCCCAAAATTCTAGGTTGTCAGCAAAGTCACAACGTATTTTTCTATGCAAAAATGCTTCGTGACTTTCCAGACAACCTAATAGAGTTTAATAAAACAGACGTAGGGAAAATAAGTCAGAGTTAATTATAATGGTAATGAAGATGATGAAATATTGGGGAAAATTACTAATAGTATGGTTCACTCTAAAACTTCCTTTACAGGGAATGCTGATGAGAAAGAATTTTGCTGTGTGACTAAAGCTAAACTAAGAAAATTCTTCTGAGATACAAAGATTGTTATCTTGAAAGCATTGGGAGGTCATACTTGAAGTCATTAGTTAAGTATTGCCTCCACCATGACACTATGGTATTCTTTCTTTTATATTCAGTGATGTGGTACATTTATTTTTGGAGTTAGAAACCACTTGAAAACCATTATACAACTGATTGCTTCAAGACAGCAGTTTCTTCCTGGACTTAATTAGCCATTACTTATACATATTTACTCAGTCTAAGTAATTGGACAGAGTGAAGTTTTGGAGTTGACATATAAAGAATAGAACTGGGTGTAATTATTGTATATTGAATGGTTTTGAATCATATTGCTTCACTTTTATAAAAATTAAACATCGCTCTCAGTATTCCCAATTCAAATATTTGGTTAGTCAATTTCCTTTTTCAATCACCATGTGGATTCCCCAAATAATTTAAATGTGTTGATTAGAATGGAGATTGCAAATTTCTTCTTTCTTTGTTACTTCTTTTTATTTTTGAATGTCTCAGTTGTTAAAGATCAACTTAATATGCAGTCTTAAAATGTTGGAAAAAGCTATTCCATTAAGCTTGACAACAACAGTAATATGACAGCATGCTCGCTGGGGAGTAGAGCGCCTTAATTATAGTAACTAAGGTTGGTTTCCGTCTTAAAGGTGATTAAGCTGCATATTTATGATACTTACTTCATAAGTCTTCTCAGTTCTCCTTGATCAATACATTTTGAACTTAAAAGTTGAGGAAATATGGTGAACTATAGCTAAGCTAGGGAAGAGACCATTGTATAAGTAACAGATTTATACATAGATGTGAGAAAGTCTATACATTTAAGACAGGCTTCTTTTTTTGGGGGAAGGGGGGATTTTAGTTATAGGGCACGGGCGCTTGCTAGAAAGCCAGAGAGAGACAGAGACAGAAAGTGAGAAATCACTCCCCAGGGGGAATGGCCACGCAGCAATCCCTTCTCCTCCATTCTCCTCTCAGGATCTTGGGCATGCATACACAAGCACTCATCGTAAGTTTAAGCCACCGGGTCCAGGACTCAAACTGTGGTTGATTACATGGGAGTCCAGGGACATAGCCATTATGCCAACTGCTGGTTCCAAGATAGGCTTCTTTTATGGAACAATGATTTGGAGATTAAGAGAGAAGTACACTACATTCAAAACATTATTAGACTTAGGTTAGAAGTTATGCAAAGATCTGGATATCAAGTTATCTGTTAGTAAGTCTTAGGCAAAGTTATACTCTGAATTTTAGTGAGTAGATCTGTAACCTTGTACAATTGATAATATGGTGAAGGGTTTCAGAGACTTCATTTACTATGAGATGAGACCAACTGATTATGATGAAATAAAGGACAATGTAAATGGCAAATACAGGTGATATTTTGGAAACCAAAATTTATGGAGATAATTTTTTTAAAAAAATTAGAGTAAAGAGGTAGAGAAGTGATGAAAGGTTTGGGACAGTTGGTGAACAAAGAATATCAGTAGCCCCCACAGGAGTAACTCACCATGCAAAGATATTTCACTCAGCAAGATGCCTAAGTAAAAAGAAAAAAGCTTTTTTTTTTTTTTTTTGTAGCTTAACTTTATTTACTTATTTATTTAAATTTGAGCAGAGGGACAGAGCAAGAGTGTGAGAAAGCAAGAAAGAGAGAGGAAAAGTGAGAAAGTAAGTTGTCAGATCTAGGACTCAAACCATAGTTGGCCATGAGGCCGTCAAGTGCCCTTAACCACCATGTCACCTGCTGGCCCCAAGAAAAAGTCTCTTATACACCTCTAATTATTCATGAGACTGTTAGTTCCACCTGAAAATATGTGAGTGAAGAAGCAATATGGTGATATTTGTGTTGTGTGGTAAAACAACGTTCTTGATATAAATGGACATTCTGTTAAAAGAAGGATATTGGGACCAGCAGTTGGCATAATGGCTATGTCTCTGAACTCTCATGTGGTCGACCATGGTTCAAGTCACAGACCTAGTGACTTAAACTCACGCCGGGCGCGTGTGCGTGTGTGCCCAAGATCCCAAGAGGAGAATGGAGGAGAAGGGATTGTGGCGTGGCCATCCCTCCTGGAGGGTGATTTTTTGTTTTCTGTCTCTCCATCTCTCTCTCTCTTTCTTTCTAGCAAGCACACATGCCCTACAGCAAAAAAGAAAAAAAAAAAGGATATCATTATCAAAAGTTGGGCAAATATTTGGGTAAAGTCTTAAGCTAACTAAAAGTTGTTAATGAGTGAACATTCAATGGATACTTTTCAATTGGTATACATTGGCAGAGTTTTCCTAATTATTTTTCGTTATTGATAGAGTTTATTTTTTAGCATTATAGAAAAATTGAATAGATAGCACAGAGTTCCCGTATGCTCTCTCTGTTCTTTACAGTTTTTATTTGATTAACATCTCACATTGGTGGAGTATGTTTATTAGAATTAATGAACCTATCTTAATACATTACTTGTACCTGAAGTTCATAGTTTGATAGGGATTATTGTTTGTGCTATACAGTCGCATAGATTTTGGAAAGGCTTAATGCCATTGTACCCACCATGACAGTATCATAGAGTCTTTTGCTCTCCTAAAATTTCCTCATACTTCACCTACTGGTCCTTTCTACTACTACTTCATTCCCCCAGATCCCTGGTAACCACTCACTTTTTACTACCTTTGTTCTTCCTTTCACAGTCATATAGTTGGAATAACACAATATGTAACCTTTTCAGGCAGGTTTATTTGCAAGATTTGTGTGACTTGATAACGCATTCTTTTTGTCACTGAATAATATGTCTTTGTATATATGCACTGCAGTTTATTTATATGTTTATATAGGAACAATTAATTGCTTCCAGTTTTTGGCAATCATAAATAAAGGTACTATACACATACGTGGGTAGGTTTCTGTCAGTATGTGAGTTCTGAACTCATTTGAGAAGATATCAGGAATTTTCATTACTGGATCTTACCTATGGTAAGACTGCATTAGCTCTATAAGTAACTGCCAAACTGTCTTACAAAGTGGTTATACTAATTTGCATTCTTGCCAGCACTTGATGTTAACAGTGACTCGATTTTAGTTACTCTGATCAAGGTGTAGTGGTGACTCATTGTTTTTTGAATTTGAACTTTCTTCATGATGCAAGGAACTTTTTTTTTTTTGAGAGGTTTTTGCTACAGGGCACGTGCGCTCACCAGACAGAGAGAGAGACATAGAGACAGAAAGCGAGAAATCACCCCCAGGGGGGATGGTCACGCCGCAATCCCTTCTCTTCCATTCTCGTCTTGGGATCTTGGGCACGCATGCACATGAACCCAGTGTGAGTTTTAAGCCACTAGATCCAGGACGTGAACTGCGGTTGACTACAGGGGAGTCCAGCAACCCAGCCATTATGCTAACTGCTGGTTCCAAAGATGTATGGAACTTTTTATATACATACTTGTTTGAAATCTGTATAGGTGTGTGTGTGTGTGTGTATTAGATTTATTTTATTTTATTTATTATTATTATCATTTTTTTCATGCTCTCTAGAAAGAGAGAGAGGGAGAAAGTGTGAAAACAAGTCACTGGGTCTGGGATTCAAACCGTGGTCAACCACATGGGAAACCAGCACCTCAACAATCATGTCACCTGCTGGTCTAAAATCTGTTTATATTTTTAGTGAGGTATCTGTTCAGACATTTTACCCAGTTTCAAAATGACTAGTTTTCTTATTGTTGAGTTTTGAGAATCCATTGTATATTTTGGATATAAGCATTTTAGAAATGTCTTTACAAATATCCTTTCAGGCTGTGGTTTACTTTTGTGTGTGTTGAGAGGTGACAGGGATGGTTTAGGTAGGGTTTAACAGCATCGTAATTCTCCTGCCTCTTGTCACATGCCTGGGTAGCTGATATTAGGAAACACATGTCACCACACCTAGCTTTTTAGGATGATCCAAGAATCGAACCTAGGCCTCCCATGTGGCCTCAGCCTTCCAAGAAGCCATATGCAGTGTGTGGTACTTTAGCAGGCCTGTGGCTTATCTCTTCCTTCTCCATTAGTGTTATTTCCAGAGTGGTTTTCAATATTAAGTACAACTGGTAGTTTTTTTTTCTTTCAGAAATCATACTTTTGGTGTTAAATCTAAAAACATACTGTCACGCTATCTTTGGCAGTCCAGCCATTAAAATTGGAACAATAGAATGAAGGTTAGATGGCCCTGGCATGAGTATGACATGCAAATTTGAGAAGCATTCCATATTTTTGAAACAAAAAGAATAAATATTTCATTCCAAAAAACAAAACAAATAAAAAAACACATTGTCAAACCCAAAGCCACCTAAAATTTTTTCCCGTGCAATCTTATAGTAGTTTTGAATAGTAGATTTTTCTTTTATATGTAGGTCTATGATTCATTTTGAGTTAATTTTTGCTAAGAGTTTAGAACTGTCTAGTTTTTTTGGGGGGATGGGAGGGGGCATGTGAATATACAGTTCCAGCATAAATCATTGAAAAGAATATCTATCTCCGTTGAATTTCTTTGCACTTTTGTCAAAGATTAGTTGATTATATTTATATGGGTCTATTTTTGGGCTCTTACTCTGTCTCATTGATGTATTTATCATTGATCATCTATTGTCTATTTTTATGCCAATACTATACTGTCTTGATCATTGAATCCTAAAGTTGTGTAGTGTTGATCTTCCAACTTTATTCTTCTTCAATATTGTGCTGACTGTTCTGGGTCTTCTGCCATTCCATATAAAATTTTGAATCATTTTTGGTTAGTTTCCACAAACAAAGTGCTGGGATTTCTATTGGGGTTATATTGGCGCTATATGTAGACTTAGGAAAAACTGGCATCTTCAAATATTGTCTTTTAATAATGAGCACGGCATAACTCAGTTTATGTAAATTCTCTTTGATTTTTTTTCATTAAGTCTTTATGTATAGCATACATAGTCTATTTTTTATCAGCTATATATTTAGATGCTATTGTAAATGTGTCTTTAAAATATTTACATTCAATTTTGCATTGCTAAATATTATCAGATATATATTTAGGTGCCATTATAAATGTGTCTTTGAAATGTTTAAATTCAATTATGCATTGCTGGATTTTTTTTTCTAGGGCTTGCCATATCACTTAATAACTCTAAAAGTTTAGGATACCAAGAGACTTTGATTGTATTCTTTGTAAATTATTTTTCCTTGTTATTGTATAGATAATTGGTATAGCCATAAATAAAAGCTGGGTTTTATTTTCTTTTTTCAATTTATATACTTTGTATTTGGGAGAAAGATGTTTCTGCTGCACTAGCTGGTACTTCCAATTCAATATTTAATAAGAATGTTCTCAGTTTTAGGGAGAAAGCACCTGGTTCCATACCACTATAAATTGTGTTAGCTCTAGGTAATTTATAGAAATTCTTCAGCTAGAGCGGAAATTCCTCTTTATTTCTCATTTACTGAGAGTTGTTATCATGAATGGGTGTTGGATTTTTGTCAAATACATTTTTCTGTATCAGTTTATGTGATTTTATGAATTTTTATTTCTAGCCAATTGATGTGATAAATCAAATTGACTACTTTTTTGAAAGTTGAACTTTCCTCGCTTTCTTGGCATAAGTATAACTTTGTCATGATTTATTTTTTAATTAGATTCTATTGTTAACTATTTTACTTAGAAATTTTGGGTGTATGTTTGTGAGAACTATTTGCGGGTGGTTTTCTTTCTTTGTAATGTCTTCATCAGATTTGGGTTTATAGTAAACCTGGTCTCATAGAAATGAGATAGGAAATACTTGTTTTGTTTCTTGGTTAAATACACTGTAGTGGTTTCCTTTGACTGCTGTAAAAAATTACCACAAACAGCGATTTAAAATAACAGAAGTGTTTGGGATGCTAAAAGTTCAAATTCAAGATTTTCACAGAGCTGTACTTCCATTGAAGCCTCGAAGGAGAGATACTTTCTTATTTCTTCTAACTTCTAGTAGCCAATGGAGTTCCTTGGTTTATGGCATCATAATTCCGATCTCTGCTTTGTAGTCACATGACTGTCTCCATTCCATGCCTTTCTTATCACACATTATCCTCTGTGTGTGTGTGTGTGTGTGTGTGTGTGTGTCTATATCTAAAGTTCCCTTTTCTTACAGGATGTCAGTCATGTTGGATTAGGTCAACACTTAATAACTTTTTCTTAACTTGATTACATTTCAAAGACTATATGTTGAAATAAGGTCATATTCAGAGGTACTGGATATTAGGACTTCAAAATATATTTTGGGAGGATACATTCAACCCACAACCCTCTTCTCTGTGCCTCCCTCCCAAAATATAATTTTTAGCCATGTAAAAAATGTATTCACTCCATCCCAACATCCTCCAAATTTGGTGCTATTTCAGCACCAACTCTAAATCCACAATCTCATTTAAACATGACCTAAATCAGTTACTGATGAAAGTTGGTATAGAACTCATCCCGGCACAAAATTTTTCTCTGTCCTTGAACCTATAAAACCTGAAAACAAGTGTCTTCTTCCAATACATAATGTAGGCCTAAGATAGACATTTTCATTTCAGAAGAGAGAAATTGGAAGAAAAAATGTGTTCACAGGTCTAAAGCAAATTTATAATCCACCAGGGAAGAATCCAATAGACTTTAAGGCCTGAGAGCAATCCTCTGTGGCTTGATGTCTCTCCTCTTGCTGGCTAAGGTAGCACTTCTATCCTTTCACCCCTGGGGATGTAGCTTCAGCCTGGGCTTCTGCCTCCATGACTGTGCTTTGTATCCTTCTTTCACTTTCTATTGTCTGCCTCTTTTCATTTAAATCCAGGCTATTTGTATTTCTCCTGGTATAAAAATTTCAAAAACCTTGCCAGTTTTTCTGGATCTCAAGGGGATGCACATAAGACCAGAGGGCTCTCCACAGATCCTTCCTGGAAAATTCCATCTTCGTTCTGACACTTGCTGAAATGATTGATTGAATCAAAGGGTTACACATCTAATTTCTTTAGCAAATGGCTGATTAGCCACATCCTTGGCCCTATTCAAACAGGTTCTCTGGAAGTTTGTACTTCTACTAGTGCTATTACCTTTTTGTTTAACCATTATTCAAGTTCTCTCTTTCCTCTCACATTTTAGTATAAGCCACAAAGAGAAATCACTCCATCTTCAACATTTTACATAGGAATCTCCTAAACTAGATATCCAAGTAAATCACATTATTTCTATACTTTCTACTCAACAGTAGAACACAATTCAGGCAAATTCTGTGGCACTTTATAGTGAGTATCACTTTCTCCCCCAATTTCAGTAACATGTTTCTCATATGTATCTGGGAGCTTACCAAAAGCACCTTAATGCTCATATTTCTAGTCGCCTTTGGCTCTGAACATATATATATTCTCTTAGAGTAGAAGCTTTCTCCACAATGTGCCTCACTTCTTTCTGAATCATCACCAGAATCCAGTTTAATGTCCACATTTCTTCCTACAGTCTCTGAAACAATATAGGCTTTTTCCAACATAGATCTCAAAATTCTTCCAGCCTGTGCGCATAACCTAATTCTCATGTTTAGGTATTTCTTATAGCAGAATCTCATTTCCCAGTGTCAAAATCTGTGTGTTTTTTTAGTGCTGCTGGGACAAAGCACAAAAAGTGAGACTGAAAACAAGGAAATATATTGTCTCACAGTTCCAGAACCAACATGGCAGGACCACAATCCCCATGAATCCTATGGGGCAAGACACTTCCTCATCCCTTCCAACCACTGGAAGTCCCAGGATTCCTTTTGTTCATGACGTCATCGCTCCAAACCCTGCCTTCATCCTCATATGCCTGTTTTCTCTGTGTCTGTCTTCCTACGTGGCGATCTTCTCTCCGTGCGTATCTCTAAGTTTTTCCTACTTTTATTAAGGTATCAATCATATTGGATTAGGATTACATTAGTAACCTCAATTTAATCAACTTGTATCTACAAAGACACTATTTTCAAATAAGGTCACAATCTCAGGTACTAGGATTTACAATTTAACATGCTTTTCTTGGAGGACACATTTCTTTCATAATGCTATTTTACACATTTTTCACTATTTCTATTTGTTAGGATTATTTTCTTGTTGCTTTCTGCCTTTGCAGGATTTAACTAAGCATTAGATGTAATTTCATCTTTTGTTCGTCTGGTTTCTTAGCTTACCAATTATGTATAGAATGTTTGTGTGTATATATATATTCCTATGAAGGTATCAGGTATCAATCATATTGGATTAGGATATATATGTATATAATAAAATCGGTGATTGACCTACACTATTTACATTTGTTAAATATATTTACAATGAATTTAAGTTCATTTTTTTTAAAGAAATATTTTTGCTTCAGGACATACGTACTCTCTGGAGACAGAGAAAGACAGAGATAGAAAGTAAGAAATCACCCTTCGGGGGGATAGCCTCTCCGCAATCCCTTCTCCACCCTCCTCTTGGGATTTCGGATATGCATACATGCGAGTTTC